GACGAAATTAGTGACGGAAACTTTTGTGACAAACAATTTAGTGACGAAAATTTCTGACGGAAAAAATTTCATCGCTAATTCCATCGCTAAATATTTACTGATGGATTTTTTGACGAATTAGCGACGGAATTTAGTGACGGATAGAAATTCCATCACTAATACGTTGCTAATCCGTTGCTAAATTTAGTGATAGAATTTTCATTGATAATCCGTCAGAAATTAGCAACAGAATAATTTTCCGTCGCTAATTCTGTCAGTAATTAGCTGTTTTTTTGTAGTGTACACCGGTTGGTACAATAGTCATTGTTAAAATCATAGTTTTCTACACATGTTTCCAAATCGGTGTAAAAAGTCCAAACTTTTAACACCATCTGTTTCTACACCGGTTGTCCTTTTCAGTGTCAAATGCCCATTCTAACCAGTGTAAAAAGACCTTCTTTTTCTAGTACTGGGAATTGCACATAATTTGGATTAAGAGCGTTTGCATGGAATTAAGTTTAATCTAGGGCTAAAATTGTTATAATTAGTTATTAATTGTATTTAATTAATTTCTCATACAATTAATCCTGCAAAGTGTTGATTTTCATTGCAAAACACTTGAAAATTGGAGCCACCTACAAAGACTAAGGGATTACACAACATAAGAACCAAGAAATTGCCCTCTATATCATTTGGCATGGCAAACTGATAGCCATTTGCCGTGGGTTTACTATGGTGAAAGAGTCATATCAGCAAAACCAGATTCGGATCTAGAGTGTAAAAATAGAGCACCTACTTACTTGATCTGACCCAGTTCAACCCCTTGAGCCTCCAGAAACCCTATTTTCAAATCATCACTCCATTATCTCATAGCACACAGCTCTCTTCACCCCCCTTCTCATCCCTCCATCTCCATCTTCTTTCTTCATCATTTTCTTCACTTTTCCTTTATTCCTTTTTATTTTCCTCCAACTATTGGTTAATGTTGAATTTTGTACTTCAATATATGTTGTTACATATATGTTTCATTGTAACTCTATTAGTTTTCTCTTATCTTGCATGGTTATATTTTGATATTGAGTTGATTTTGGGTTACATTGGGTCAATTACATTAATCGTTATCAAATTGCACATTGTGAGAGTTTAACAATGTTTTCATTAACAAGATTCATTGATTTAAATATTGGACTCAATTGGTCATTAAGGTTGTTCTTCAAGAAAGCCTGATGATTTTCACATGACTCTTATTATCTTAAGTAAATTATGATTGCCATAAAAAAAATGTTTTCAAGAAGTTTCCCGTCATTCATTTCCATTCCATCCTCACTTTATCTAAAAAACTAAAAATATAATAGCTTAGGTTCATTCTTATAGCACTCACTTAGTTTTAAATCAAATTGATGTCCAAAACTAAAACTCGATTTTATTGCACTTTATGGCACTCAGCTTAAGTAATAAATAAAGGTTCATCAAAGTGAGGTGACCGAAAGTTGTGCTATATTGCATTCAGTGGTTTTGTTGTTGATTGAGAACCTTAAAGCACAGTACGACAAGGCTTCATCATCCAGTGTCTTTTTAAAGAATTTTCCCATTTCAATTCCATTTTTCTTCTTTTATTTTATTTCTTAGACCATATGAAATATGAAAATTTCTCCTCTCATAAAGCTGATAAGGAACACCCTAGCCTCCCAAAAATGGGCTTGATCTTAGTCCAATGACATTTTTCGGGCTCAAAATAATGAATTCACAATTCTACCCTTACTTTTTTGAATTAAGTCACATGACAAATTTTAAAAATTATTTCTCATAACTTTATAAGAATTTTCCTTCTTTGTTTTTCATTTCTATATAAACCTCATAAGGTAGCTTCCCGAAAGCTTGCAGGTTAAAAATTAATTTCTAACTATTTTTCTTTAAATTGTTTAAAATAATAGGTCTTTAACGACCAAAAATTAGCTTCAAACTTATTTATACCAAATTTGGAAAATTAAACCTCTTCATAAACCTTCTATATCCCCAAAATACTGATTGATAAGCCCCCCCTCCAAAAAAAAATTTTTGGGATCTCTAGCTACGTAATTTGGTGAGATTCTCCAGCTTGTTGATGACAGGATCTTTCTTTCTTTCTTTTTTCCTTTTCTTACGTTGGGATAAAATTAATATAAAATAGTTTTGAAGCAATTTCTGTGTTGGCAAGTAGTTCAAACTTTCAGCGCAAGAAGGTGCATTTTCGTAGTTTTAGAATGGGGCTTCGAGATTAGTTTATGGTTGAAGGGATATTGCAAATCGGCAAAGCTTGTTCAACTCATGCTCAAATGGTCGCAACCATTGTATAGCAGGGATAACTCCCTAATTTTAGGATTTTATCAATGCACTTTGAGTAAATTTGAAGAGTTAATTTGAAGAATTAATTTTGAGAACTAATCAACGACAAGTATGCAGCTATGTGTGCACTAAGCAATGACAGGATGAGCATCTCTACCCCTATCGATATACATATGACCGTCATCAATACAAGTATGCTGACTAGTAAAAATATGAGGAAGCAAAGTGTTTTCAAGACGACAACCCCAGCTTCTGTCCAGGTGTAGTTGGAAAAGACTATAAGGTGTTGAGAAGCGTCACAAAGCTGAAAAAGAACATGATGCTTTTTCAGATGTCTCAAAGCTATTAAACAACGTTGGAAGAAGCGTTGTGAGAAGGATGAGGAACACAGTAGAGTAAAAGCTGAATGTTGTGATAAGGAATGTGCTTGAATACAAGAAAATATAATGAACATTTTCCAAAAGTTAAAAGAGTCCTTCGATGAAAGGATGAATCAAGCAATCTGAAAAAGCAATTCTAGAGGGGTTGAAGATCATTGTTCAAATTCAGAAGCTGACGTTGTAACAACAATTGCGGCAGTTCCCCTAACTCTTATTGGGCTTAGACATGGCATTGAGATGGCAACAGCAACACCTGTGCTCCATAGGCTCCAATGGAGACTCCTATAGTTAATATTAATGATAATAATAATCCTGTTGACCTCAGTGGTGAAGAGTTTCAACTTGGTGATCATGTTAATCATTCAACATCAATGAAGGTAACATTGTCCCTGCTTGAAATTAGTAAGGTTCAAGTTCATTGGACTAAAAACCCACCTCTTCAGTTTACTATACCACCCAAGGTCACATCATTGCTGAACTAGTCACTCTAACAATATCTTGGCTGCTGGAAAGGGTTTTTGGATACTTTCCAAGATTTGAATAGTCATTTTTGCCAAGGTTTTTCTCTTTTGGTATCTTATATGTTTGAAGGAATTTCCAAATGAAGTCATCTCACACCTTCTCTCTTAGGATTTGTGCCTCAATTTTCACTTGTCAGGAGCTGAGTACTTCAAGTGGGGAAGAAATGATGAAATATGAGATAAGGAACAATTAGGATTTAATCAGATTAATTATGGTATCTGCTAGGGGTCTTAATAAAGATATTTATCCATTAAAATTATGTTTTATTACATTAATTGTCTTTTAATATTTTGCAATTATCTTTAATAATGGGTGAGATATGATATAGGACTTTATTATCATATTATATTTCTAGAAGTCTTATACAAAGGGCTAGGATTTTCAGTTGAAATCAGCTTTAATGATTGAATAAGAATTGATATTTCATGACCTTCTCTCCTCTTGTCTCTCCTTCCCTTTCCACTCCCCTCTCTTCTCTTCTCCCCTTCTCTCTTTCACCTCCTTGCCCTGCATCAAAAGGGTTCCCAAATTGAGGCGAAGAGAAATCGAGCAGTAGAAGATTTAATGTAGTGGGCACAAATGGAGCTAAGGTTGCTGTAATAGAGAGCAAACGTGATATAGGAAGAGAAAGGAAGGGTAAAGTCAAGTCATTCCACCCGCATTTCGAAATCCTAATAAATTGGGTCTATGACTTAATTAAAGAAGGATAAAGTAGCATGCAACACCCTATCTTCCAGATACACCTAACGTCATAATTTTATTTATGATACATCCACAACCTCAATATTATTTTTTTAGTTACATCCAATACCTCAATATTATTTTATGATTGAGGGTGTTTAGCACACAATAAACAAGATTATGATATTGAGAGTGCAAAAAAAAAAGGCTACTTTACCCAATAAGAAAATTAGGGTATTAGTGCTACTTTACCCAATTAGAAAATTATTGAATTTACCAACCTGATTTGGGATTTTATTAGTTCAATTGGCTTTAGATGTGACATTTTCCCTTGTCAATTTCTTTGTTTTTCTAGGTGGAATACATTAGTAGTATTCCAAACAAGTGTGATTTGTTGATATATACACTCATTAGTTCATAAAAGATAACAGCGTTAAGAAAAAAGTACCAACAGTTCCACACACGAATTACACAACAATGCCACCAAACTAAATTCACAATTTTTAATGTCTTCAATTAGAACATTCAATTTGATGATAAATTTAAAATGAAATATTTATTTATATGAAAAAAATAAATGGTCCCTGGAAATAAAAAATCGAATGGACGGGGGATATAGTTAAAAAAAAATTGTGCATATAACAAATATATATTACAATAAAGATAAACGAAAGCATAGTGTAACAAAAGTGTGTATTACAAACAAAGCACCAAACAAAAATTTCATAATTTATAATATCTTCCACACTAAATACTACAATAAAGTAAACAAAAGCACAAGTAAACAACAAAGACGACTGGTAAAAAAACAAAAAAAACAAAGACGACCGGCACAAAATTCGAAAATTGATGCTATCTTGAGCGCCTGGTTCCTGTACATAAAAATAACATGAATTAGTGCATCATAAAGAATTGTGTAAAAGTCTATAAAAGAAATTGTGTAAAAACAAATATGCATAAAACATATATGCACAAGCCAAGTAAGCATACGAGAATGAGGTCTAATGCAAAGTCTCTGTTTCCATAATGTCGGCAATGGTTCTCATGGTCGGTCGAGATTGAGGGTTGGTTTGTATGCAGGAAAGAGCTATTTGCCAAATCAAAGCCAATTTGTTAAAGTTTTGATGCTTCATTGATGACAAGCGAGGGTCCAAAATATGTGCCAAGCTGATATGACCAATCCCATGGATTTGTATGTGATATAAAATCACCAGGATGCTCTCCCATAAGCAACTCAATGGCCAAAACAACAAAGCTATATACATCAACTTTCTCAGTCACTGCCATTGTGTATGCAAGCTCTGCACAAAGTACACAACACAGAGTAAATAATGATTTGCAGAATAAAATAATTAAGAAGCATGTATATATGTATTTGTTTTAATCATATCGACTCACCTGCAGCAGCATAACCGTATGTGCCAGTAAAAGTCGTCCAAATTGATGAATCGGTTTTTAAGAACCTTGCCGTGCCAAAGTCTGAGAGATGGACTTCGAGATTTGAAGACAATAAAACGTTATTGCTTGATATGTCTCTGTGAACAATGACTGGCTTGCAATCATGATGCATATATGACAAAGCCTCTACTACCCCCTTGATAATACGAACCCTTTGTGACCAACCCAACTCTAATGCTTCTTTATCATTTCTACGCATATCAGATAAGCTCCCTCTTTTGACGTACTCATAAATTAGAAATGTGTGCAACCCTTGTGAGCAGAATCCATACAACTTCACAATGTTTCGGTGGTGAGTTTCCATCATGGCCTTGATCTCATTCTCAAAAGCTTTTATATTCTCGACGTCTAAGCTATTTTCCTCACATGTGAACTATTTTATAGCAAATACTTTATCCTCCCCTCGCAATATCAGCTTGTAGACTTTTCCAAATGCTCCTGCACCTATGCAGTATTTCTCATGAAAGTTCTCAGGTGCTTCAATTATGTCATCATACATGATTTTGCCATCAAAGTGCCATATTGAGAATGGATTTTCCCTGCTGACTGTAGCTTTATGTTGTAAAGCTCTTAAGTTTCTCTTACCGCGAATGACAAGAATCAAAAGTAGCACAAACAAAACAAACAGTGCACTTGCTATAGAAGTAGCAACAACTATCACAACCTTCCTTTTGTTACCTCCTCCAATTGGTTTTATAGTTGTGACAATGCATGGTTGCAAACCTTGGATCCTCCCACATATGCTTTTTTTGTGACTCAAATCCACTAGATTAGAAGAATTGAAAATTGCAATATCATGTATTAGGACCCTCCAAATTATTGTGAGAGATTGAGGACTGACAAGCTTTGCATTTCTGTGAGGGAATTAGGGATAGGACCTGACATATTATTGTGAGACATATTCAAGCTTATCAAGCTTTTGAGTTTACAAAGATCCGCAGGGATTTCACCAGAAAGTGAGTTAAAACTCAACTCCCAAAAAACTTGTAAGAATTCAAGATTTCCCATTTGGTATAGGACTTTGCCAACGAAGTCATTATTGCTCAAATTTAAACACAACAAGGTTGTGCAATCACCTATCTGGGATGGGACTTGTCCTCTAAGCATGTTTGATGACAAGTCTAAAGTTTGCAAATTTGACAGCTTCCAAATGCCAGTCAGTAGGAAACCTGATAGTTTGTTGCTGCTCAAAGATAAAGCAGACATCCTACGAAAATTCCTTATTTGGGGAGGAATCTCTCCATATATTTGGTTGGAAGATAGATCAAGTTCTTCTAATTGGTCCAACTGAAAAATCTCTTTTGGTATAGTGCCACTGATTGAGTTTCCAGCCATTAGAAGAGATTGCAGGCTCTTACAGGCACTCCATTGTGCAAAAAGTTTCCCTTGTACCTTATTGTAACTGATGTCAATGTAAGTAAGATTCGGATACACTCCAAAATCTTGATCTGCGTAACCTGTCAGTTGAAGTCAAACTCTAAATAAGGATGGCAATTTTTTAGGCTCATGGGGATTAGACCAGTGAAACTATTGTAGGCGGCACTGAAATTGACTAGCTTTCCACCTTTGCAAACTTGTGGTGGCAACTCTCCAGAGAAGTTGTTTTCAGCAAGATGCAATACAGTTAAAGAAGAGAGATTTTCAAATTCTTGGGGAACAGAACCGTATAATTTATTTATGTGGAAGCGCACATCAGACAGATTAGTCAATCTACCAAAACTTGGGGGGTCATGCCTGAGAGTTGGTTTTCAGGCATCCTAAGAACACTTAAATGTGTACAGTTCCGAGAGATGAAGGAATAGGCCCAAAGAAGCCATTCCCGTCTAGAGCCAACACAGTTAAATTTCTTATGTTCCCTATTTCGTTAGGAATTCTACCACCAAGCTTGGTGTCTTGAAAGAGAAGATTTCTAATCCCAATCAATCCAATCTTGGGTTGATCAGAACCATCTGGAAAAAGATGTGGGTCTAATATTCCAGTTATGGGGTTTCGGGAAAAATCAAGTTCATAAACTTGAGTCAAATTTACAAGAGAAAGAGGTAAAGTGCCATTGAGGAGATTAGTATTAAGATCAAGGAATTGTAGTTTAGTGAGGACCCCAATGTTTTCTGGTATGCTGCCGGTGAGGTTGTTTGAGTTGAGATCAAGACGAAGAAGATTCGGAAATGCGGGCAGGTTCAAGTTTTGAAGGGTACCTTCAAGGCCTGCGTGTGCCAAGTTTATTCCGATGACACTTCCTATAGAATTATCACAAGTTATTCCACGCCATGAACATGGGCTTTGAACATTGTTGAAAGGTGGAAGGACCCATGAATCCAATACTGGTTGCTGTGGGAGAATGTGTTTCCATTTGATCAGAGCTTCAGTTTCAGAAAGTCCTGCACTGAACTTGCATGGCGACCAAAAAAGCGAGAAGACAAGATTAAATGCAAGGAAGATACAAAGTTCATGCTGAGCCATTGTTTAGAATGCGTTTTTGTGCAAAGCGGATTTCGTTTCTTATAGCCCATTCGGCATCATCAAAATTTTAGAAATTAAAATTTTTGTGAAGGATCAAAATCGTTACTCACGATTTTGGAAATCATTATTTCTAAGTTATCATTTTATGTGCAGTTGAGTTCTTGACTTGTTTATTTTTAAGCCACAACTCTTGCATTTTTCTCTTTTAACTTGTGATGGAAAGCAGAGATTGAGACGTGATCATTGTTTTTCAACCAATCTTTGAAACCCCCCCCAACAAAAAAAAAAAACCTTAACCTGGGGAATTTATAACCTGCCTTTGATTTTTTTTTTTTCAATAGATGCAAATAACAGATTGTGTCTTTTTATGTGTAAATCTTTTTTCAAAACATGACAAATTAAAGTGGAAGATATTTTTGTTATCAGGAAAAAAATGTTTTTGATGATGCTTTAGTTCAAAATATAGATTCAAATTTCTACAGCTTTTTCCACGCGGTATGTATAAGAAAGTCGCCGTACACAATGGCATGGGTCCTTTAACGTAGATGCTTGGTCTTTTCACAAGGCCTTGATTTTAGAATGGGAATGATCTGCTAGTTTGATTTTTAAAACTAAGAATAGCCTCGAACTTTGACACTTTAGATTTGAAAGAACAGTTCACATTAAGTGCACATTAAATGTTCATAAGACATACGCTATGGTCCCACCCTTGCCTGTCAGATGAGAATGATCTACTAGTTTGAATTTTAAGAGTAAAAATCTCTTTCTTTCTTTTTTTTGACCAGAGAAAAAAATCCTAAACCAAAAGAAATTCCAAACTGGTTTGAATCGGTCTCAACCTAGACCCGGACATAACCTGGTTACGCGGTTGGTCTTGAAGGGGGAAAAAAATAGAAGAAGTAACACAGAAATTAAAAAAAAAAAAAATGACCGTCTTCCTTTTGCTCTACCAGTTGATTGACCTTGATAGTCATTTCCCTCTAAATCTGGAGCGCGGCTGAAAATGAAGATAAGGAGGGGTGGACTGTGGAGGTATGTGAAAATGAAAGCCGAAAAAAGGAAATCTGAAACGAAGAAGAGAGAGAAAGGAAATAGGGAATCTGAATCAAAGATTTAAATTTCACAAATGACTTATAAAAAAATACAGTAAAATACCTTTAAAAATATTAAATAATAAATAAGGATAGCTGAATTTTAAAATCATAATTTAAACCTCAGGTATGATTTTAAAATTTTTAAATCTTATAAAATGACAACACTATCCTTATTCACGATAACTACTTTTATTAACTATTCTAGTTTAACTATTGACTACTTTTATTTTTAAAGTTTCGGTATTAATTTTATATAACTATATAAAAGTAATAAATAACTAAACAAAAAATAGTTACTAAATCTCCAACAACACTTAACACATTTTTTGAATTTTTAAAATAAATATAGTTAATAACAAAACTAAAATAATTAATAGCTAAATAAAAAGAGTCAAATTTTTATAGCTTTTTTCCACGCGGCGTGTATAAGAAAGTCGCCGTACACAGTGGCACGTTCCTTTAACATAGATGCTTCGTCTTTTCACAGGTCCTTGATTTTAGAATAGGAATGATCTGCTAGTTTGATTTTGAAGACAAAAAAATGTTTGGATAAAACCAAATGATGATTTAGAGAATAGATTTTAAAAAGAATAAATTCTGTGAAAAAGTAATTTTGATAAAATGAAAGTGTTTAGATAGTTATTATTAGAAACACTTTTTATATGTGCAAATTACTAAAAAAACATAAGTTAATATGTAATTACATAAAAAATAGATTTTATAATATATTTTAATTTAAAGAAATAAAATTGTTAATAATATATTTTTTACCAACATAATTAATAATATACAGGATAATGTAATTAATAAATAATTAATATGTGTATATATATTTATGAAAATATAAGATTAAATATGTTTATAAAAAAACAATTGAGGGGTGTTAAAGTCATATTATCATTGAGATTCACTCTGATAGGTACAATTATACTCTCCAATTTGAATCAAAAGCAAAATGAATTCACTTTTTCTGAAACCATGATTTTAAGTTTAAAGTCATAGTTTTAGCCCAAAACCATGGTTTATTAAATTCCTCCCTATTTGACAAATCTGGGATCCTAAAACTTGGGGTGTTCACGAGACCGGATAGAACCGGACAAGCCTGTCCTGTGAACAGGGACGGGACAAGGTTTTTGTCCCATGTCCCATCCCGATTCTGTCCCGGTCTTAACGGGACTAGGACGCCCCGCTTCCCTTTTTTTTTTAAAAAAATGCTATAAATTTTTTATGAATTTTTATGTTATAATGCTTATTTTTTTATGGGGTTTCTAAAGATAAAAGCATTATAAAAATATTATGTAGAAAGCTCAATTATATAGTATAAAAAAGGTATAAAAACAATACTTAAAAAAATACCGTAAAAGAAACACTATATGATGACTTTATAAATTATTTTATTGAGGAAGAAGATTTTGTTGAGAAAATACTACAACTTAAGAGCTAAAAATCACTATAAAAATAATTATTATTATTAATAAGTAAATTGAATAATCTGATAATAATTATTAATAAATATTTTTTTAAAAAAACCTGGGACGGGACGACCCCATCCTGTGTCTCCTCCCGTCCCGTTCTGAAATTTTTTTGTCCCCTCCTGTCCAGTTCTGAACTCACCGGTATCAGGATGGGATAAATTAAACACCTCTACCTAAAACCATGATTTCCTATCTTACCCAAACAGGCTGTAAGAAATAAGAATAGCCTCGAATTTTGACACTTTAGATTTGAAGGAACTGTTGATAGTAAGGGCATATTAAATGTTCACAAGCCGTGCGACGTGGTCCCACCCTTGCCTGTCAGGTGCGAATGATCTACTAGTTTGAATTTTAAGAGTAAAAATCCTTTTCTTTTTTTATTTTTATTTTTGACTAGAGTAAAAATCCCGAATCGAAAAACAATTTCAAACTGGTTTGAATCGTTCTCACCCAGTCCTGGACATAATCTGGTTACACGGTTGGTTTGGGGGGAAAAAATCAGAAGAAGTAACACAGAAATTGAAAAAAAAAAAAAAAGGTGACTGTCTTCCTTTGCTCTACGAGTTGATTGACCTTGATAGTCACTTCCCTCTAAATCTGGAGCGCGTCTGAAAACAAAGCTAAGGAGGGGTGGACTGTGGAGGTATGCGAAAATGGAAGATGGAAGAAGGAAATCCAAAACGAAGAAGGGAGAGAAAAGGAAATAGGGAATCTGAATCAAAGATTTAAATTTCACAGATAACTTATGGACAAAGACAATAAAATACCCTTAAAAATTCTAAATGATAAATAAAGAGAGGTGAATTTCAAATTCTAATTTAGACCTCAAGTACTATTTTAGAACTTTCAAATCTTAAGATGACAGCATTGTCCTTACTCTCGGTAACTACTTTCATATAGCTATTGACTATTCTAGTTTAACTATTGACTACTTTTGTTTTCAAAGTTTCGGTGACTACTTTTATATAGCTATTGATTACACAAGAGTAGTAAATAACTAAGCAAAAAGTAGTCACTAAATCTCCAACAACACTTAATGCATATTTTGAATTTTTGGAACAAAAGTAGTTAATAACGAAAGTAGAATAGTCAATAGCTAAATAAAAATAGTTATCAAAATTTTTAAAATGAAAGTAGTTAATCATAATACTAGAGTAGTTATTAGCTTAACAAGAGTAGTTATTAGAGTATTAAAAGAAATATAATCAGTAGCTATAAGAGAGTAGTCAATATATAAGAAAAAGTAGTTACCGGAGTTCTGGTGCCTAGTCGTTGGCAAGGTCACCGGCGTTGGAGCTCTGGCGGCCGAAAGTGTTAAGGTGGCAATATTTAAAAAAAAATAGTAAAAAAATAGTAAAGAGCATTTGTGTAATTTTACAAGATTTGAAAATTCTAAAAAGATACCTAGAGTCTGAATTGAGATTATGAAATTCACATACCCTCATTTGTTATTTAGTATTTTTTTTTTAGGGTGTTTTACTCTTTTTTTTCAAATGACTTGTTAGTATTATGCCACAAATCTGAAATTTTCAAAATAGGCTTTGAACGTTGTTGAAGGGTGGAAGGACCCATGAAGCCAATATTGGTTCCTGCGGGAGACTGTGCTTCCATTTGATCATAGCTTCAGTTTCAGAAATTTCTGCACTGGTCAATGGGATTGGGTCTAACAAAAGAGACTAGTCCCTCACAACATGACGAATTAAGATTTGAATCTCTACTAGAAGAGG